GACTGGAACACCCTGCTCTGCCTTGGCAATGGCAGCGATTTCATTTAAAGTGAAATGATTCTCTCATACTGAAAAAGGAAGACAAACATAGCAATAGCTTGAGGTTTACCTTGTTGCTTAGCTAACACATCAAGTCAAACAATTGTTAGGAACATAACATCAAAAACAAGAACCTACAGAAAATGAGTAAAAAGTAATAGACCACTTAAACACAGAACAGTAACTCAATTTTTTTAACTCCCACTTGAAGCGTTATGTATTCATTTTCATCAAAAAGAGCAAAAAATAGCAAAAAAAAGGCGTATCTTTAAAAATGTTGGCACCACAAACTCTATTATAAGCACTACAGAATGTCTTCCATACCTTCATGCTCAGGCTGGTTTTGGATCCAGTAAAGGATAACACTTTGACTTTTACTCTTTGTCCTTTGCTCACAACATCAGCAACATTGGCAACCCGTCCTTCTCTTCGAAGCTCTGAGATGTGGACCAAGCCCTCCCAACGCTTCCTGTAGGTGAAACAAACAGAGGGGCATGAGATGTTGCACGTTATTACTCCGACAAGTCCTTCAGATCATTCACAGTCTGGATTAAAATATTTTGTTGTCAACTGATTGTTTCTGTACGTTCATAAACTGTTTTTTTACAAGGAGAACGTTCTCTGCTGTCGAATTTATTTTTCTGAAACAAACATTCATTTCGGCATCAAAACCCAGCATACCTTACTGTAGCCTCATAACCTCTTTAAGATACTAGCAGAAAAGAGAACTCAGATGGAATAGTACCAGATTTATTGTGAACATCAGAAGGTACCTTAGTCCTTCCAGCTGCACAAAGCATCCAAATTGCATTATACTTGTGACTTTGCCATTGTAAATGTCTCCAATGGAAGGCTCCTCAGGTGGTGGACGGTCTATGTGCTTGTCTCTCCATCTCTCACTGCTCTTCTCGACATACTTCTCTCGATCCTTACGGTCCCTACTGGGACTCTGACTTCTGCTCCTTGACCGGTATCTGGATTTTCCCCTGTTCTTATCCCGAGTCCTAGAACGAGACCTAGAACGAGATCTGTGCCTTCGTTTCCTGTCCCTGCTACGACTTCGGCTCCTCCTCTTCTTCTTTCCCCTAACAAACAAACATTACATATTTGCAGTGAGATTCCACATAAGAACAGAGCAAGCAGGCAACACCAACTGCCAATACCCATCCCCCAAAGACATACCAGAAACCTACCGGTGGTCACTACTCCTTTGCCTGCCTTGCCTGTCTGCACTAGGCATTAGAGCTTCAAGTTCTTTAAGTGCATCAGCTGCCACTTTCACATCATCTTCATCCAGCATATTCTGCAAGAACAGAGAACTATTCTGTAAGAAGGCTGATAAAAAGTCTGTCACAGAGAATTAATCTACAGAAAGGATAATCGCATGCATATCTATTTAGAAGGAATGTAAGATAAAGATCAGAATACATGATATAGGGGGAAAAAAAGTAATAAAGCTACCGCCCTATTTTGCCACAATATTGAGACAATTCTGCTTTTGTATAAAAGACAGCTTCACTTCAACACCTCAAATTATTACAGAAATATAAAATGCAAGTCCCTCGTAGCACCTGAATATCCAATATTTTTCTCTAGTTTGTAATCCATCATTACTGTGAACATTAGGTAAGAAAGGCCAGGCCACAAGTTTCGTGTCACAGTATCTTCTAGATATTCTGCGAAACAGTATCAATGTGGCAATTGCTTAACAGCTGTTCCTGATAACTATGTGCAATAATACTAGCCTTCTGCTTCTTTTGTATTTCATTTCTCATAGTCCACTTTCATCTATACTTTAGGAGGAGACACTCAAATTAACATAAAAAAACCCTTGAAACTAAAGAGAAATAGGAAAAAAAAAATTACGTTTTCACATACTTAGAAAAGAAATCTGAAATTATGACCTTACCCTGATGTTAGGATTGTCTGGCCTGCAAAGGGCTGGAAACAATTCCTTCAACTTTTCCTTCTCCGATTTGGGTTTGACAACTGCCTCTGATTTTGAGATTTAAAACAAAAAACAAACAAAAAACCCCAAAACTTAGAAGAGCTAGAACGATTCACTCTTCTCTGTAATTGAATACAAAGTTTAACTTTCATCTGAATGCAGAGATTGATACAGATTTTACAGAGATTCAATTTAAAGATTACAATGTTACCTTCCTACAAATAAAATTGATTATTAGTGAATCTGTGAAATACATAAATACTCTAAATAGTGCACTCAGTATGTTTTTAGTGCCTAAACAGCTTTGCTAACCTACCACTAACAACAGCGAGACTCCCACTGCAACAATAAGATACAAACTCTTGCCTTACAAGACCAGAACAATAACTACATCAATCTCACTAAACAAGGCCAAAAACTACAAAAGACTAAGAGTTTTGGTTTTCTTTTTACACTGAACTGATCAGAGGGACAAGATTATGCATACCTTTGCTCGTAGATGGCTTTGGTGGGGGCCGCATTGTCTGTATGAGACGGAGCAAGTTACTGATAAGGGAATCCTGAAAAATTTAATAAAATACTTTAAGAAATGACTGCAACGCTGTTTTTCATTATTAGAAGGCAGCACAAGTGAGGGCTTTCCTAGCGGGACAAAAAAAGCTCAATTCTGAAAATGCAGGTTCATTTTTGGAAAGTGTCACTGGACTTCATGTACATCCTGAAAAGATATAGTAAGTTGAATCTGAAAATTATTATGATGTTCCATTTAAGTGACTTTTCTACTTGTCCTTTTTAATCACCTATTTAATCCAACTACAGTTATTTCTGGGGAACTCACAAACACAGCATCTAAGCATCATAAAAAGACTTACAACAGCATTTACCTTCGTGAAAAGTCTCTTCTTCCATATTTTATATGCTCAGTGAGACAATAAGCAGTTCGAGTCCTCAGAAGGACGCTTTGCAAAAACTACAAAAGTTTTTAAAAAGGAGGAGGGAGGGGGAGGCTTGGCTTGATGAGACAGGAATACTCAAAAGCTGATTAGTGCATAGTTTTCCAATTGAAGAAAACCAATAATCACTCCTCACACCTCTCTCTCAAAACCAAAAAGCTCTATGAAATACACCAGGACAAGAACACGTAAATAACATTCAGATCTGACTTACAGTGAACTCAGCACCATTCTTTAGAAGAACTGCTTTAAACGTCTCAAACGTAGTATTCTTCTCAGCAAGACTTATCACAAACTCGGCTGCAAAGAAAAAGCAGAAAGTTGATTAGAACAAATAATTAAAAGGCAGTACAAGCACTTCGTATTTGGACAAAGCCGTTCCCCCGGCAGCGCAGCGACCAGCTAGGCCCGTCTACCTACGGAAAAGCTGCCACGCTGCTCGCAAGAGTCGCGGCGTCGCCTCCAGGCCCTGTCGTAGGAGCCCAGATCGAAGCGCGCTCGCGACAAGTTTTTTTGAAGAAAAATCATGGCTTTTTTTCTGAATTCAGAAA